TGATTAAATTTTAATTCAAGTTGTTATTCATAAGAGTGTAGTACATAAGTATTTATACACAAAACTAACTAACTAATTTGTGTAAGTGTTTCTAGTCAAATTCGACACTACACATGACTCAATCGTTTGTCGAATTCTTCTTCTTGTTGAGTTTATGACTTCACATCAACAACACAACTCTACCTATACTTCTAAACACACCTTCAACTATAACACAAATGTAAGTTGACAACACAACTCGTTAAAAAGCTTTGAAGCAATCCATTGAGAGACCTTTGGGGTTGGCTTGGATATTTTGAGGGGTCAAACATAAATTGCTCTTAAAAAACACGAGAACAAAACTGAAAATTAAGGATGTAAATGGATATCCATGGGGACGAATACTATGGTATATGTATACGTCCAATTTGATAAATATGATATACATATCTACCCCATATCTATGCGAATATCAGTTAAGCGGCCGCGGATTTTACGATATTCGTGGATATTTACATATATCCATGGATAATATTTTTTTTATTAAAAATATTTTTTGAAAAAAATATTTTTAACTTCCTTTAAAGACACAAAATTATTATAATGTAACATCCATACAATTCGCTCTTAATTTAAGAATAAAATTTCATTACATTAATTTTTTTTCTATTCACGTGATTGTGAATTATGAGAGAAGAGTGAATGACAGAGGAGTATTTAAGGAGACACTGATTCAAGAGGGGAATGGAAACACCAGTTGGTTGGACTTGAAAATGATTCATTTCTCAATAGTAAAACAATTAAGCCCCTTACACTTTAACCATGTATTGCCACCATAATCACATGGCACATGAAATCCATCAAAGATTCAAGAATTAAAACAACATAATAGTAGTAATAATAATTATAGTCAAACATCCAAATCCAACAAATGAAAGAATCAACGTTGTTGTGACTTATAAACAGAAAAATTCATTAAACTTGAAAACTTCATGGCCAATTCTTCAATTCCTCTTCACTCTGAACCGTACCACTCCTCATAGTACCACCATCACCATCTTCATCAGAATAACACTTCAAGAAAAACGCCAATGTCAAAACAACCCACTCCAGCAAAAATATAACACCAGCAAGTCCACCGCACAGTTTCAGTATAACCGAACCATCTTCTTCCCTCACATAAGATTTCAACTCCGCAAGAAAATCCTCCGTTCTGGTGAAAACCAGCACGGAAACCGAACCTTGAAATATGGCAGTTAGAACAGTAACAACCATGTGTGCGGAGTACCAGCGAGTGATGGTGGTTAGGGAGGATGATGCGGAGGCGGAAACGGCTCCGGCGATAGTGAATGCGTGGAGGAGAATGAGGAAGAAGCCGCAGATTGAAGGGAAGAGGTTTAGGGAGAGCGTGAGGAAGATGCAACTAGAGGAAGCTGATAAGAGTATGTAGTTGCAGAAGAGGAATGCTTTGTGAATGTTGTATTGGCGTTGTTGATTCTTCATTTTCTCTACTTGTCTTTGTTCTTTCTAAATTGTAGTTAATGAGATTTATGAGTATGGTGTTATATAAGATATAATAAAGATTAGATTCAAAGTAACGGTCTTCTTATATTCATTATTACTCCACTTGTGCTTTTGCAATTTCATTTGTTTTGAGCTATATGACCGTTGAGAAAGGAAACAAAAATGACTTAACGGATAAGGAAGAATTTGGTTCATTCATAATTATATGTGTATTTAAAATCAATTATTTGATTATAAAAATGTTAACCATTAGTATGTTTTAGTAATAATTAAATTTTACCAATAACCATAGTAAATGATTTTAGCAAAGTAATCCATTTTTAGGTAAAAAGAAAACAAATGAGTTTAATTTGTAAATATTATCGGTCTAAAAGTAAATCACAATCAATTAAATAAATAAATAAATAAATTAATTAATTAAAATAAATAAGTTATTAATATTTATAAATTTTCAACTTTTAAAATATGAATTAAATGAAAAATTTAAAAATCAATTATAAATAAAGTTAAATATTTTTAATGATAATGTAAACTGATGCCCTAAAAATATTTATATTAATCTTATAAATAAAAATATTAGTTTTAAAACAAGAATGTTACTCCTTAAATTTTAATTATAAGTTATTTTTACGGTTTCATAAATATTAAGAAGTATAATGATTATTTCATGTATGAAAAGATAAAATTATGAAAATATTTACAAACTATCATTCTTTAATGCTATGTGAAAGACAAATTAAAAAATCGAAAAAAGAAAAAAGAATAATAAATCATAAATATAGAATAATATAATAGGAAACAAGACATAAATGATTCATTAGTATAGTAAAACATTTATGATTTATAATTTATAATTTTGTTTAATGGCGATTGACAATGAATTTCTAGGAGATTATCGTTTGATTTTTGCAATTGTGAATGAGACGAAGTTAAAATCACTTGATATAATAGTTGACCTCCGAACTAGATTAATCGTCTCAATGAATTGGAAATGAATTTGCAGGAGGTTATGGTTTGATTCTCGCAACTGTGATTGAGACGAAGCTGAAATTACTTGATGTAATAATTGACCTCTAAACTAGATTAATCGTCTCAATGGAATGTGATTTGACCTGATCAGAAGGGGATCACTAGCTGGCCACACTCTGTTGGGCTGCTGTCTGTTCACCGGTGATGAAGATGAGGAGGGGGTGTACCTGCAAGACACTTCGATGCCAAAGTAAGGAATTGGACAGAGTGACAACAAATACAGAAAAGGGGTAAGAAGTGAATTATCTGACCCTCTTGTGAAAGAGAGTATTTATAGAGAGACCCCAGCGCTAGGTCAACGGTCACTTGTGTTGGGCTGGATTGTCAGGCCCAACCCAGGCAACTGCTAGGGCTTACGTGGCGTAGTGAAGACTAGGACGTGGTCTTCGCCCTAGTCCAACTGTCCCGCGATCTCTGGAAAGTGGGTTTGACCTGCTCTTTCGGAGGTGGACAGTTGATCGGTGACGTGTCCCCGCAGAGGGGAGCACGTGGAGAACGTGTGAAGGACACGTTTGTCATGTCCGACAAAGGAACAGGTTCTGCCCGCGGAGAGGGCAGTGTTTCGGTCGATGGGGGAGTCTTGTGCCCGACGTAGCTGAGGCAGGTCTTGCCCGCGGAGGGACATTTCCTGCTCGTTGGGGACCTAGTGCCCGACGTTGCGGCCCAAGCTGGACTGGACTTGGCAGAATATTATTGGGCTGGGTCTGCGTGGCCAAGCCGAGGCCCAGGCCAGAACAGAATGGAAATAAATTTGTAGAAAATTATGGTTTGATTCTTGTAATTGTGATTGAGATTAAGCTCAAATGTAATAATTGACCTTCAAACTAGATTAATTGTCTCAATCGATTTGATATTGATCGCGAAAAAAAATTAACTATAATTTTGTTCCTCTAATTTACGTTAGTCACATAATTAATTACTATATTTATATTTAAATTTCATCAAACTATTTATACCCAAATATAACGGGAGATTAAAATTACTTGAATTTAAAAACTTAAAATAAAAAATAATTTTGTGCATTTGATAAAGGGATCAAAGTTGAATTTATAACTTTTATTCAAAATACATATAAAACAAAAAGATAATAGTTGTTACCAAGGGGTGATAAAACGGATCGAACCACCTAAATCCGTCTATTTAATTCACCATTTTTGATTGGTTGAAGATTTTTTGACTAGCTGAAGTAAAATTTTTAATTTGGCATCTTAAATTGATTCACCCTATTTGACCCGCTTTTAAAACGATCCGAAAGTGGGGTGGGGTGCCCGCAAATTTTTTTGTTAAAAAAACTTATGTTTTTACTTAGAATATGTAGTAGACTTATTTTAAATTTTTTTTTTTAACTCTAATATTCTTTTTTCACATAACCACTCGTCATCTTCACTTATAATATGAAAAATTTTAATTGCAAAACATAAAAAATAAATTGATAAAGCTATTAGTTTTAATGTTGTTAATCTTGATAATTATTAAATAGTGTAGATCTTGTTAAATTTTATTCTGCATTGTTAATATTTGTCAGCTTCTTTAATAATGATTAGCAATTTTGTAAATTACGTAATAAATTAAATTGTAAAAAAAATGTGACTGACCGACCCGCTAATTTGTCAATTCGTTAATAGATGAGACAAATTTGACTTTTGAACTTCAACGTTTAAGTTGGCCCATCTCATCTCGTTTTTGGACGGACTTAAATGGGACGGCCCATCTCATCCCGTTTTTGAACGGATTTAAATGAGACGGATGGGAGTCCGATTTGCCACCCCTAATTGCTAATGACCATATACAAATATGTTAACCACCATGACAGTTAACCAATTCTAGCTAGGTCCAGAAGTATATATGTATGCAATAATCAAATAAAATAATATACTCTGTCAAAAAAATCACTAAAGAAGCAACTACTAAAAATAATATACGAACTTACTAGACCGATGGGAAAATGGAGGTTAAGTCATTCTACCTCCATAATGGAAATCTCACCTAAAATAGAGTAAAGTTTTTAGTGAAACCCACCAATATATTCCACTAACCCCCATTTCCTACACAGCTCAAAGAAATTACATAACATGTTTTTCTTCAATTTCTCTTCACACTATTTGTTTCTTTTCAAAATCCATCAATCCAAACTATAAGTAACATACCAGAGATGTTAGATTTGTATATGCAATATATACAAATACTTTGGGGCATGAACAAGTTAGAACAGGTTAGAACAAGTACTAAAGCAAAAGGATGAAACATACATTTGTAGCAGCAGTCAGTTTGCGTCCATTTGTTTTTATACAAAATAATGAAACATACAAAGCTTTTTAGCAAAAATAAAATTACAAATTTTATTTTCATGCGAAGTACTAAGAAAAAATATAATCAAGCTAACAAAAACGTGAAATCAAAATAGGAAGAAACTTATTTATTTTTCTTCATCTGTCTTCCACTTTGAGCAAGACATTTGAGAGGGAAGTTTAATCCTTGTACTTCATCTCAGATACCAGGAAACCAGGCATACCAAATGAGGAAGAGAACTTCTCAACATCAGCTTTGAGTTCTTCAATAGCTTTGTTGTCAACCAAGCCCTTGTTGAAGTCCTTCAAAAGTTTGCCATGCTCCTTCTGGATCTCTAGTGTCAGAGTCACAGCACGGTGAAGGAACTCTCCAATCTGCTCAAAGTCCTTTTCAACCAAGCCTCTTGATGTCATGGCTGGAGTACCTGTTGACAGAACTCCACTCAGCCACCTCATGTAAACATGTTTTACAAACATCAGAAA